ATCTGTATACTGCAACTGATATGAGGTACACAACGACCTATTGGCAATATGTGAGCGGTAGTTGATTGAGAGTGATGGTGTTTGTTTCTGATAAAGGTCAACTTACAGATACACTGCCAATGAGTGCCCAATTGGCCAGGCCTACATGATCGAAATTGAGAGGTGCCATTTTAGAATAGCAAGGTTTGAACAGAAAAGATAGAAATTGGTGACGAGTGGACAGACGAATGTTTATTTATTTCAATGCTAGATGATACTTAGCTGCTCACAAGTCAGATTATAGCCCAAGAGGCGATGAATTGATCGACAGGACCCGCCACGAGAAGATGACGAGGACCGTCTCCAAGGATTACATGATGTACTTTTTCTAAGTCTCCGAAACAGTATACACAAGTCGGAGCCGATAGACCCTCCAGGCAATAAGAAGAAGAAAAAAGGGACGGATGGTCGGACATCTCTATGCCCCGTGTACGTCGTCGAATGCATGAGTGCAAGTCCACGGAAGCTGGTCCGGGGGCATGCGTGCCACCACGAACCAAACGATTCCACCCTCCATCATAACATCATACGCTTTCATCGGCGACTTTTTTCTTTGTTGGAGTCCGGGAAGCTTAATAAACAACCGCGTCGAGTTGAACGGGTTGATGTCACACCTGACACTTCTTGTTCTGCGGTTGGGTGGCATCACATTACGGGGGACGGCTACGGACGGCGGGGGTGATGGTCCAACAAGCTTTGCCTAGCTTTTCTTTAGCGGTTATGTAAGGCGAGGTCAGGGAAGGGGGGGTAAAAGATTGCAGACAATGGGCTCCATGGGGTCCCTCTTTTTGCACAAATGTCAGTATGCCCATCATACGGGACTCTTCCGTGCCGAGAATAGTTGGCATAGAATACTAAGCAAAAGTCTGCGATTGGTCATGGGCAAACGGGGTATAGTGGAACTTCTCTGATGTGCAGGGATGGATCGGCAGAACGTAATGCATACAGGCGAGATAGCGTCGTACTACACAGCAGACAGTTAGGGAGGTAGGCAGCATTTTGAAAAGCATCATTGGCTATACCATCAGGGTCAAAGCATGTGTCAATTAACGCCTTGACGTTCTTTGATGCTGTGTAGCTTCGTTTCTTACTTGCCCCTCTCCTCCCGAACCCTCCCTGAATGAGTCGAGCACGGGGGTACACACCGCAACAATACGACTCGTCTACCGGCAGTGCATCTGATGATCTTCCACCTAAGGGTCTGCCGTAGCCCTACATGGCTGGTGGTTCCACGTATTACAATGTGTGTACGTAGTATAATCCGGAGCCGATGCGCTTGTTGTTTCGGGCAGATTGCACTTACTTCTTACTTGTTTCCACCATCCGATCGTCCGATTCATAGTCCGATCAGATTTGCTAGTTTCATGGCTGCCTGTAGACACTGCCTCGTCGTATCCATTATTGCTACACAGTAGCACGATAATCTGGGTTGTAATACACTTTATTGCCAAGTACTATGGACATATTCATCGCTTATAATCATGATTCATACCTGCCGAGCTCTCGCAGTACCGCTATCATACATATTGATCAAGTCAAAAGTCGGGAAACGTATTTATAAAGCCGAAGACATTCAACAATCTCAGGCACCGACCTGGACTTCTGGTTGTGCTGCAGCTTTTTGCGTATTCTCGTCTCCATCCGATGGCTTATGCGGGCTATCCTGGCCCATGAGCGGATGCGCAGGGTCATATGTCACTGATTTGACGATACCAAGACCCTTGGTTCGTCCTTCACGGAATAGGACACGTTCACCCTCTACCATGTATTCAGGACGTGCGGTGAACCGGAATGCTACTGTAGCCCGATCACCGGTTCGAATAAACGGCCTGTCAATGTCGATGATTGCGCAAGTCTGTGCTACGGCGCCCACATGCAGCACTGGTTTCTTGCATTAGACAACAACAAACATAAATAAAATGATGATGTGAGTACTTACTGGCCTGATATTTGGTCTTGATGGTAGTCGCGTGGGACAAGATGAGGACTTCTGCAACAAATTCTCTCGTAACTTTCGGAGGAGCGTGTCCCTCAACCTTTGGCAATACAACCATTCCTTTTCGGACATCTTTCCGTCGCACTTTTCTGAGTGCAAAACTTGCAGACTGACCAGCAGATGCCGCTGGGACATCCAAACGTTTCCTCTGTATCGTTCGGACATTGGTTGCGGTGAAGTTGCCATTGCTGTCGGGACCGATCCAGACATTATCTCCGGCATGTATGACACCCGACTTGATGATACCACTGACAACTGTGCCAACAAATGGTACCGAGAAAGTATCATTAATGGCAAACTCGAAATCGGCACCAGCATCATAGCGACCATGGTGGGGTAGGATGTTCAAAAATGTCCGTACAAGGTCAAGGTTCTCACCAGTGACATTGGACACCTGGAAGATGGGGCATATCCTCTGACTGACGAATTGGGTTGCCGTGTTAATACACTCCTCGCGATCTCGAATAAAGATGGGAATCTTCCTTGCTCCTGGAGATTTCAGTATCTTGGTAATCTGTGAAATGGTCTGTTCGAGAATATTTGGCGGGCAAATATCGATTTTGGTAATGACAACCATTACTGGAACGTTCAAGGCCAAGGCGATACCAAGATGCTCTTTACTCATGCCAATCAACCCGTTATTTGCTGCCACCATGAGCAAACAATAATTTGGGCTAGAGGAAAGCAGACCAAACACGGTGGTACGCAGATACTTCTCGTGTCCTGCCAAATCAGTAAAAGTAATGACTTTGGCACTTCGTTTTCCAATCTCTTCCCAAGACAATTTCCCTGCAAGCAACGATTAGTAGATGATACAACCGACTAGGAAGTCGCTACACCTACTGCCGGGAGTGTCAGATGAAATGGTATTTCCTAGCGTGTCGAATCCCATGATTTCCATGCCGACCGAACTGGTACGACCAGTTTCGACCTCGTGCTTGTGGCGGAACAAGTTCACTCGAGCCTTTCCTCGTCCATCGTCCAGGTCGCCCTTGACCAGAACACCCAGCATAGAACTTTTACCGGCATCAACTAATTCATTGGTAAGCTTGGGTCGTCTGAAGCTTTCCTAGTCAAGCGTGTTCTTACCATTTCCGACCACGGCTATCCGGGTTTCAATCACGTTTTCTGTCGTCGCGGGAGCCTGCCGTATCAACACTTTTCCACTGCAGTCCTTGTCCTTGTCCTTGCCGGACTTGACCGACTCGGCCTCTTTCTCGCCCCCAATGTTCTTGGTCAGGAGGATATCGCAATCGGCCCGCAGCTTCTTTGCCGCTGTTTTCAGCCGCGCCAAGGCCTTTTCCCACTCTGGTTTCGTGAGGCCCATGGATTCGCCGTTGTTCTCGAAGCCGACGTCGAACACGGCCTCGGCGTGGCCTTCTCGTAACCTCTCCTCGACTACACTGACCAGCTTGTCGTAGTTGGCATCGTCCTCGGCCAGGAGCAGCTCGCGTAGGGGGACCTGCGGCTCAGAGTCTTCCAGGTTCAGGGAGTCGAGAATGTCCAGCTCCTCATGGTGCTCGGTCGCCGCGCTGTTGCTGGTGTCGGCCTGTTTGTTGGTCTTGGAGGAGGGATATCTTAGTGCTTGCTGCTTCTCGACAAACTCGGCAAACTCGCTGAGGGCCGCTTCGTTTTTCCGCCGCTCGTGCGGAAGCTGTTTTGTCGTTTTGCTCATGGCGCTACTATGTGGTTTGTTCCCATATATTCAGTAGGGAAATCGGGGGCGAATTTATGATATCGTGATGCAATGACGTCGCGATGTATGCGGTGCGACCCTTGGTCTACTACTTCAACAGCAGACTGGTCAAGTATAGCAGGGGCTCAATTCAATAATAATAGGGACGGTCACGCTTGTATCCAAAGAAAAAGTAGATATTTATGACAGCTTGAAGGAATGGGTCCTCAATGTCGAGTCATAGATGTCATCCAAACAGAAAGTGAGTAATTCGGCCAGCACCGCAGAGGCGGCTGTTATGACTGATTGAGCCCAAGTCCGCCTGTCCGTCTCAGCTTCCCCAGAGAAGCGGACCCCGCCAGTGGCCACAATGGGCTTATCGATAGAAGCTCGGGGCCGCTAGAGAGTTATAGTGGAGCTTAGTGCTGGAACTAGCCAGCTACCTCAGCCTAGGCTGTCTAGCATCAGTGGCACTTGGAAAAGCCTCCAAAAGTCAACACTCTTATTAGGTATTCGCATTGCATCTGTCTGTATGTATGTCGTCTCTTTTAGCCAATTGCTCTTACCATTTTGCCAAACGTACAATGATCATAGAACTTTTGCCCCCTAGAACCGTATATTCTTCTGTGACTATAGAATCAATACATGAGTCACGATGCCGTTTTCGGAGCCAAGCTGTAATAGCATTGTATGCTGTGCCGTTCACCAGTGGCTGAGCTGCTCACCGTGGATACGCACGAGACAACCACTGGCAAGAGCTCTTCACTCTATACGGAATATACAGTAGAATATAATAGAATACGAGCGATTGCATAGCCTCGCCTAGCATACAATTGGCCTTTTTACACATTGCAGTCAAGATCCATTATCGAATCATTCTGCGTTTAGGCAAACAGCCAAGCCTTTCGTAAAGTCCTTAAGGGTTGACTCAAAACTACCAGTAGTAAGTAGGCTGCGATGCACTCGGATTGTGTTGTGCGATCAGCACGCAAGCAAAAATCTACTCATTATAAGTGAACTGAATACTATCTATCATAACTCAATCGGATACTATAATCGCCAGGCTCACATTCGAGAATTTGCAGGTGTGTGTTGCATTTGCAGCCGACCGCTAGCCCGAGGTTGGCATATTCATCTCCTAGCTGGGTTTGGTGCAACAGTCCACCCATTCATTCACGGCAGAGATGTTCGAGTACACCGCAATATGCCAGCCATATTGACAGAGCTCAAAAAGTATCACCAACATGTCTTGTCACGACTGACTGACTGGATTCAAGAAAAGCAAAAAAACGACCCAGACGGGATTCGAACCCGCAATCTTCAGAGAATGGATAACGGTTTATTAGAGGTTCTAAACTCTAGCCGAAATCTGACGCGATACCATTTCGCCACCAGGCCTTGTTGAAGTTTTTGGGTCTTATTCAATCTCAATACACTACACAGACTGCTGTGGGATTGTGGATATTTGAAAACATGAACTACGGTCGGACACGATGGTAGCGTGCTTTCAAGGTGGTTGTTGCCTCACGAAACTTCCCACGTCGTTTTGACTCGCCAGGTGGGGATTTTAGGGCCATGTCAGCTCGTTTGATTAGCCATGTTTATTATATGGAGGAATCGCGATTGCAATCAATTTTCAGAGTATCGAGACGCGCGTTCGACTGATTGATTTTCAAAGGGCCAAAGAATGGCTGCAGGATGGTCTCGAATCCTTCAGCTAGAGGAGGGAGAAGACAGGTAGAAAGGTCGTCGCGCTTCTTCTTCACTGAATTGACTGAACCCCACTGCCTGTCATTAGGGGAGAGAGAGCATGCAGAAGGGGAAAGGGCAGATGAACAACAAGAGTGTCTCGTAAGCTGTGCAATCGGAAAGTTGGCATCATATCCGATGAATCCTTGTTTTGCAGAATCCTTCTTGCTAATTGCCTTCCTTAATGATCCTTCGGTCCCGGGAGGCGTCGAGAATATGCATCGCGGGCCGACGGTTGATGAGTAAAGGTGGCCGTGATTTAGTCTTCATTTTTGGGAATTGATCAAGAATAATTCAAAGTATAGCGATGGGACACAATCCCATCTTTTTTTTATTAGTTTTATTACGGGTTGCGCAATGAAATACGTACTTGCATCGTAGTTTTTGACGTCTGGCCGGACCATCGATGATATCAACTGGAGGAAAACAGGTTGGTATTAATAGGTGCAGACCCGCTTGCCGACCCTTGTAGCTTTGGTAGATCCTCCCATCACGAGAAATCCTTCGACCAATATCCAATAGCAACGGGTCCAACGCAAGGTCTCGATGAACTGGAGGCTGTGCAATCTTCTAGAAATGGATAGGAATATATTAATCGAATTGCTTGCGGGGAAGATGCATTTGTATTTTAGCATTCTGTTGCGCATCGAAAAGTTGGTCGAGGGTTGGTAGTTCAACACTAAAATCAGCGCCCGTTTGTCATCATGGTCGGCGCTCACCGAAGACAAACCACCATCGACAGCCCGCCAGCCTATCACGTAGTAGGGCAGCGAGGATCCGTCGCCGGTCCGTCGCGACTCAACTCTGGCTTCTCCAACCTCTCGCTGAGCGACGCGCCACGGCATCCCCAAGTAGATACCTGCTTGGTGCATCTGAGATTGCTCTACACCTTTCACAACCTCAAGGACGATGTCGGCTTCTCGGACGGCCTCTTTGGGCTGTGGGATGCAAGATACCCGGCCACTCCCACCAATCCCAGCAAGGCGCTGGCATCGTTGCGGGAGAAGCGCTGGGCCCTCTTTGTCGCCAGGGCCGTGGATCGCTATGAAGCATGGTGGAACAGCCTGGGCAGCCAGTACTTGACTGAGAGGGATATGGAAAAGGACAGGACCAGGTATCTCAACTTCATGGCCAATTGGGAACCAATGAATTGGAGCGAGGATGATATGCCACCATTGGGTATGCTTGAATTGAGTTGCGGCATTAATGCCTTAAGTGAACACTTATTGACCATGGCCAAAGATGTGCTCCTTGTTTTACATGCACACATGTTGAATCCGAGAATATTTCTTGAAGTGAGTCTCGATGACAGCAAAGCCACTTCCTCGCCTAGGCTGACCTGCTAATTCTTACAGGACTGCCTTCGTTGTGGGCACCGGGCATTATGGACGACGGGTTTACCCTGGCATGTTATTGACCAGATGATCGACGACAGATTTCAGTATGCGGCGTCGGACAAGTGCAAGTTCAATTGGGAGCGAACGACGGGGCGCAAGTGGTTCAACACAGATGATGGGGACACAAAAAGCATCAGATGTCCTGCGTGCTCAGGAATGGTATCCCTCCCTTGGACGACTTGTAGCCAGGATCGTGTGGACTTTGAAACAAAATTTCCTCCAGCGAGACCGCAAAATATCGCGGGTGAAGGCTACGGCGATGGGAACTTGAGCCAAAAGTGCCCAAAGTGTAACATCACTATAACACATGAATTACTTCGCCTGGCCAAGTTTCGAAATCACGTCAAGTATCTAGTCAACAACGATCAACCTCTTCCAGGAACAATTCTGGACATGAAAAAGGGTATGCCCACAGAGGCGTCGAGATCAGATTCACCGAGGCTGTTCCCTAACCGCCTTTTGAGACGCGGCGCCCTAGCAGATGTTGTTGATCTAGTTAAGCCTGGAGACGAAACGACGCCAAGCATGTTGATGGTGAAGGACTTGATAGAGAAATCCATCAACGATAAATCGCTCCTTAAAAGGGCGAATGGCGGAAAGAAACCAGATATAGCAGCAAGACAACAGATTCGGCACATGATGAGTCGGTATTGGGATAATGCATCACCGTTCGGACTCGACTTGTCTGGTGCCGTCATACGACAGGGTACTTTCACTCAAAAGATGTACAAGGTATGACCTGTACAATACTGGCTTGCGGGCATACTGACAGAAACCAGATAGCTTGGCTTCAAAGTCCAGAAGCTGAACCGACTATTGCAAGGTTCTTGATCAAATACGATCGCTTTTTCAGCATAATGGCATCCAAACCTGATCAGGTCGTGGTCCCGACAGTGGATATAGATCTGATATGGCACACCCATCAATTAAGCCCGCGGCAATACTACAAGTTTACTGTAGCCAAGATAGGTCTCTTTGTTGATCATCACGACAAGGTTGATGAAGATAAGCTATCTGAAGCATTCGAGTGGACAACAAAAACGTATCAAGCCATGTATGGGGAGGTATATAGCGAATGTATCTGCTGGTATTGCGAGAGTAAGTGGCCACAATATGAGACATTACCTACACTTACTCATATCACTTTGATAGCTATTCGAGCCTGGAGTATATCATCATTTGGAGTTCTACTTAACGTGTCCAAACAAGACAAGAGTATGTTGAACTCATTATTATACCTTTGGAGATTTTGCAAATAGCTGACATTGAATTTCTGTAGTTGCTCAAGCTTGGTACGACTCGGGCAAGGCTCATGCTCAGCCTCCCTCGAAATCTGCACATATTTCTACCCACCCAGCCGTCAAGGTCAACGAGACTGAAGCCCGCCAAAAGGTGACCAGGAAGATGCGCGCACTCTACAAGTCGAGACTCGAGCAGAGCTACGCCCGAGCCGTCAGCCGGGCGGGCAAAAAAGGTCGAGAGCTCGGGCCCAAGGAGCGGACGTATCGTCACTGGGGCGCCAACTACACGCTGGAAGGACCTTGGTCTCATCCTCACTACCTCGCAAAGGGTCTCTACGCCACGGATCCTACGCAGGTCAATGCCGGAGACGGGGTTCCCGGGGGTTGTGTCGCTGGGACGAGTGGCGGTTCGGGAGGGTGTGGATCAGGTACGGTCTCAATGTGTGGAAGTTAGGACAATTCCACGGGAAAAGACAAATAGAACGAGACAGATCCTATTTGAAAGGCTCCTTCATTACAGAAAGAAGTGTTTTGGGGTTATGAAAGCTCTTTCCATTTCACAAACTGGAAGCATACAATGTATAATCTAGGTAATGTCATCATATCTATAGTCTCGCGCATGCCCCGCTCAAGGCAGAGACCAGACCAACGCTCACGTAATTAAAAAAAAAAAAAAAATTTAAAAAAAAATAAAGGAAGAAAGCGACTGAGATTGTGGTACCAGGATTGGGCGTCTCCCTTGAGGAGTTGGAGAAAAGTTGCGGCGACGAGCTCGCGGTGTTCAGGTGATCCCACGACATGATCTCGCACAGAGTCAGTGAAAGCGTACACGTTTCGCCAATGTAGTCGGTGGCCCATTGTAACGTGGTCACCTTGGCCGTGTGAGTCTTCTACGTTGGGATAGAAGCAGCCAATCTTTTCTACGTCCCAACGAGTGGGTCTGTCACTCTGCATATTGTTCTGCTTGGCTGTGAAGGTCGTCTCTATTTCTTCTCGGACGTCACCCGTGGCCGAAGGTCACCAACTGGCCTGTTGTCTCATGACAGTCTACTGCTCAAGACCTGGCAGCATCGGTTGGTCGGACCGTGACAAGGAATTGCGCAACTTGTATCTTCTGTGGTGCAACGTCCAAACCATTCGGATTCTCGTGAACCTTTTTCGCCGCATCGCTGAAGGCCTAGGTAATAAGAATGAGAAAAACACTACTGAGAAATTAAGGTAAAGGAGAAAAAGAGAAAAGCTTTGCAAATATTTAATTTATATCCTTTTCTAAAGATTTCCGTTTATATACTTGTTTTCATATAAAACTTTAAATCGAGCTCGACTTGTGCTTATTCTCACAATCGGCTAAAGAAGCTCGAGTGGCGTCCAGGACGGCATCAATCTAAGTCTGGAATGTGAGACCACAGTTGAAGAACTACAACGCAGCTATGATTACTTACACTAGAGCCGCTTTTGTGACCCTTCCCCTGAACTGTGTCCGAATCAATCGAAAAGACAGACTGTTCAAATTTGGGCTATTTCGAATTGACATTTTGCTGCGTTGTTATAGCGAAAATCTTTTTGGTTTCAATAAATCAGATCTGAGATCACCAAGAAGACCAATATCACTCCCTTCACACGATGTCAAACAATGACACAACAAAGAAGTAGAGTAAATCATGAGGGAAGGATTACATGACAGACCGCCTACTCAGGGATGACTTGAGCTTGGACAATACCAGTCGCGATCCATCTTCACAACTGACGACCTTTTTAAAATCCATCGCCGCGTCCAGACTCGCTCACGTACTAGTGGAAAAAATAAATAGCCCTCACGACCAAGTGGAACCATCCAAGGGGAAATGCCCAAATCAGCAGCAACAAGCTTACCCCGTGTCATGACCTTTTAGCTTCGTGTTCTGGACTCTGAAAGCTGCAAACGCGGAACTTCCGCTGCAATTCAAGTTACTTTCCTCACCGCATGCATATTCCCAAGCAGTTGGGTGCCCGGCTGCAGCCGCAACCGGGG